TGGGTTTCTTCTCGACCCCAGGTGGCTGGGTTCCTTCGAGAACCCAAGCGCTGGGTTCGTTGGAACCCAGGCCTTCGTTGGAACCCAGGCCTTGGGAAGAACCCAACCGCCTGGGTTCGAGAAGAAACCCAGCACCTGGGTTCTTTCTCGAACCCAGCGCTGGGGTTCTCGAAGGAACCCAGCACCTGGGTTCTCGAAAGAACCCAGCTCTTGGGTTCCAACGAAACCCAGCGGCTGGGTTCCTTCGAGAACCCAGTGGAGAACTGCTCTTCTAGGGTTTGAAAAGGGAAGAAGGGGGAGAAGATAGTGCGTTTGAGGGGCTGGAGGTGGGCCCCACAATTTATTTTTTTTCCCAAAATCTGACGTGTTTTGTCCATGTGTACAGTTGACGTGTCAGAAATTTTGACATGTCATCATACTCAGTTAATTAACGGGACACGTCACTATATTTTTAACGGAAGGACCAAGTTGGGGTAAAATGGGTAAACAGTAGGGACCAAATCAAGAATTTTCTTAGTTCAAGGACTAAATCGGGGGTCCGTACAATAGTTTGGGGACCAAAAAGGAGTTTTAACCTTTAATCTATTACATGCTCTCCCTATCTATTTAAATTTTAATTCAAAGCCGTAAGACTGAAGGCATACGTCATCAAAGAAGATGAGCATCGATCACGTGCAGGGAAGATCCAAGAACCTTTTTTCGGCCATGCGTACAGAAGGTTAATGTCAACTATCGTTCCCCTACTATCAAAAATAATTCAATTTAAACCTTCTACTTTCAAGTCACCTCATGTCGTCCCTCAACTATGAATTAACTGCATATGTCCTCCCCTTACTATTGAAAAATGTATTGATGTCGTCCCTCCGTCCAACTTCCGTTCAATTTTCGGTTAACGTACGGTTTGTTCACTGTTAACATTAACTTGTCCAGACATCCAACTGCTTTTTTTTTACACTTGGGCTTTGTGGGCCCCTCCAGTGCCACATCATATCCCCTTTGGGTTTCTTCTCTCTACGCGAAGTTGCTAGACTTCTCGCCTCCAACTTGAGAATTGAGTTTCAATAATTACTGCCTCCAAAATCCAAATTTCCATTTTGTTAGTTTTTTATAATATGTTTGATTGAAGTGAATGAAAGAGATAAGAAGATTTTTCAATTCGATTACTCATTTTATTTTAAAATGATTTTAGTTTATTATGATTATTATTATTATTATTTTAAATTAATTATTTTTTAAAAAAATAAATAAATATTATTTTTAAAAATTAACTATATTATTTATTTATTTATTTTAATTTATTTATTTATTACAAAAAATTTTACTTTATTTTTTCATTTTAATTATTTCCAAACAAGAAATATGAAAAATTCTCTATTTATGTTTCTTAAACTAAATATAGTATTATTAATGACTAAAATTTTTAATTCAAATTAAGTATAAAATTCTTAACTAATTAAAATAGTATTTTTAAAGAGCATTTTATAAGTTTTTATTACTTACATTCTTTCTATTTTTCTCGTTGAACTTATATTCAAAAGAATAATAGACAAAACAAGACAAAACAAATGAACTCCACATCATAATTTGATAATGTAAAGTAAGACTTTTAAAATTTAAATAAAGAGTACGAAGTCGTTTAGGCAATTTTGATTGCATGCATAAATAATACTATAAATGAAAATTTTAATTAAGAACTGAGAAAGTCTAATAACAAAAGAGGGAATAAGATCCCGAATTTGCAAAGGATGGATTCGGTTACTTTAGTCCCC